ATCCGGAGCCAGAGTGGAAGGGCAAATGTATACTAGAACTATCTAAACCCATAAGCTAAACCCATAGCCTAATGTAACTACGTGTACCCCTTACACATTCATCTCTTATGATTGGCTTCAACTCTCTAGCTCAGGCAACCCTAGCCGCACAAACCAAGGTATGGCAGGGCAGGGGTAGACACCACACCAAGGTAAGCGGTCCTCCACCCATGCAATGCTACAACTGCCAAGGTGCTGGTCACACAGCATCTGCATGCGCCTACCCCCATTATGACACACGGGTGCAGCACCTCACCTAGCTCATCTATGTCCAGTTAAAGGGACACTACCCCTCAAATGCACCACATGTGCAAGGAACAAGCTCAAGCTTTATCCGCAAGCCAACCTCCCACAGTTGTGCAAAGACAACCACTCAGGGTTCCTGCACCACCCTTTTGCAGCTACATGCTCAAGTAGGATTGGTAGTCAAATCCCCCATTTTAACCATAAGTCATCCCCCAACCCCATCATCATAGAACAACCTGTACCTCCTAGTCAATGTTAGAACAACAAATGAAGGAACAACTCAACTTAAAAAACACAGCTGCTATTTTACAGCTAAACTGTTGGCTGTGAGGGTTGGGTGCTCTTTGTAGGAGTACTCAATGCTCACTAAATGGTAAATGGTAGGTTTACTTAATTTTTACTTCTTTATTTCAAATATGTAGTAAGTGCAAATTGAAGTAATCAGAATAAAAAAGAAAGGAAGAAAAAAAAAGGACTGACAGTCTGTTTGGACAAACCCAGACAGACTTCAGTTAATTGACTCCTGAAGAGGAGATTTATTATTTATAATAAAATGTTATTATTATGAGTGAAGGTTGGATCCTGGACCTTCCTTTAATCCTTATTGTAACAGATCAAAGAGTGAGTTAGTTCACCAATCTGGTTGTCCTTAAAGTCACCAACTTGGGGTTATTCTTAAGGTCACCAGCCTGAAGTTCTTCTTAAGGTCACTAGCCTGGAGTTGTTGGAGGTCACTAGCCTTGATTGGGTTTCTACTTAGGGGAAGTAGAGGATCCAGAGGGGAGTGAAGAATGTATTACCTACTTTTAATCAGGAAGCTGATTAAAGTTGATGAAGCTTATCCCTAGTCTTATTTATATATAAGACTCTTGATATTTTACTTCAGTTGAACTTTAATTGTTCTTTAAAAGTAGTGGGTAATTATTGCTTGGGGGGGATCTCTGAAGGCTGAGAGAGGAGGGGTTTATATACTCTCCTCTCTAAACCTAACTGTAGTGATATTTGTTATTATCACTACATTGGTTCAGGGTTAGTCATTAACATATAGTAATGATTGTTACTATTAATGCTTAATTACATATACATGTTATGTGTGATATGTAATATACACATTTAACTCTTGACACTGAGTTATGAGGTGTAAATGGTGATTTATTACATATTACATGTTGTTTTACAGGTTCATGTATATGTAATAAAGGTTTTGATACATTGTATTACATGTTACATAAAGTCTATGATCAGTATGTAACATGTGATTAATTTTATACACAGTGTTTTTTACTGTTACAGGTTAGTTTTGGGTACATGTATTTCTACTCAGGGCTGACATTGGCGCTCAAAACATGTTATGAATTCACTTTTCAATTCTCACTTGACCAATTTTTTTTCCATCATATCAGTCCAGGAACCATGGCCTAATCCTTTTGATAGCATGCCTCCCAGTCAAAAGGGCTGGACCCTTGTTAGCCTGGTAACCAAATCCCTCAAAGAAGACAGACCCCAAGTGTGTCTATACATAAGACAAGACCTTGAGACCCATCTCAACACCATCCATTCACCCTCTTGTGACCTCACCGTCTGCATTGTCACAATCAAGTACTTCACTTTTCTCATTGCTAATGTGTATAATCAACCTGCAACCTTCCTAAGATTTGAAGCCTTTGAAGAGATGCTGAAATTCATCCCCCAGACTTACAACGCCTCCCCATGATTTTTACTACTGACTCCAATCTACACTCCCCATGATGGAACTGTAGCCACAGCACAACTAACAAGAAAGACACAAAAACACACATTGACCTGGTGTTGAAATGGGGCCTGAACCTCTGTTCCCCAAAGGGAAAATCCACTTTTGGATTAGGCTCAGTGAACACAGATGGCGCTTCCATCAACCTGATCTTGGTCAATAACAATTTCAACAAAACCCTGATAATGTGTGTCATTGACAACAACAACCTCACAAACCACAACTCCTATCATCAATCTATAATAAAAAACTTCAATACCAGACAGACCAATTCACCAATGTGACCCCCACTCACAAAGGAGTGCAAGAACTGGAGCAAGGTATGACATGTTTCATTGTGCACAGAATTTGCACAAAACCTTCCAAAATTACACCCTCTGCTATCTAGAGAGGATGTATAAGCTTTTGATCAAGAATTAAGGGACACCATAATAACGGCCCTTGACAAATACTCACTGCGGAAGACCACACCCAGCAAACACAAAGAGTGGTGGCGACCTAAGGTGTTCAAGCCACTCCGCAAAGACACCAATTGGCGGTGACAACAACTCAAGAAACACAGAATGGATGAAGCCTGCACTGCCGACAAGACAGTGCAAAACATCTTCAATAAAGCAATTCTAAATGAGCAGAATCAGGTAGGAAACTGTTGTCTCTGGTAAGCACCATCAATACCACTGATGGCACTGCCTGAACAACAAACAAGGAGAAAGCATCCACACTCTTTGCGGCTACCTGTGTAGCTACAGTCCCATGCCAACTGAACAACACAACACCTATCACCTTCCCAGTCAATAAAGACCATAGCCCAACACTCAAGATAAATCCAGAATTCTATGCCCCCATCACACTCAAAGCAATCGGCATGGTTATGAATGATAGCCTTCCCATGAAAGCGCCTGGCCCTGAGAAGATCCAGCTTGTATATGGAACATGATCTGGGATCAGGTTAAACGGAACGTAAATAGTTTTTTCCAATGCATCAAGCTACCAGGCAGCACCCCACAAGCTTGGAAGACAGCTGTGACCATGATGATGCCCAAACCAGGGAAAGCTGACTACACACAGGCCTCAGTGTACTAACCAACTGCCCTCCTAACTACATTAGGGAAAGACTTTGAGAAATTACCCACCTTACACTACAGTGGCAGACCCAATTGCTCCAGCCAAGAGGCTCTGGTCCACCTTGTTTCTTGGATAAAACAAGAGTGGGTACAAGGTAAAGTGGTAGGAGGCCTTTTTGCTAATGTTAAATTGGCCTTTCCTTCCGTTCACCACCCCCGCCTAATGGTCACACTCAAGAAGAAAGGAACTCACTCCCAGACTCTCAACCTAATCCATGATTTACTAATGGAAAGAAAGACCACACTCAAATTCAATGGGTTCAAATCACAACAGTTTGGCCTAGACCATGGACTACCCCAGAGAACAAACAGCACTTGAGCTTGGAGTACAAATGAACAAAAAGATCTTAGCAAACATAAAAGCTTTCAAACCCATAGCAACTTTTTGCAACTCACCATGGTGCTTGCAAAACAGATGGGTATGGGCTACTGTCATTGACAAGCCTCATCCCGCAGACACCCCCTTTCCCCTGGAATGATCTTATCCTTCCTTCATCATTACATCATTGCCTATATCCCATTGTATTACATTTGTACACGCACACCAAACAGCCACTAGTTACCTTTTCCCTGAAAAGCCACAGGGTTTTTAACAGTACTAGAAATAAGTGCAGAGTGTTTTCTAGTCCTAGGACTGCAAGAACACTTAAAACCATGAAATAAAAAAATAAAATAAAGTTTGAATTTTTTGTGTATCTTTTAAAAAGTCAGGCAAGTTTTTTGTAAAAAAAATCTGTGTAGAACCAACATATTTTTAGTTTGGGACACCTAAAAAGGTGTCCTGCTGTAAAAAAATTACGCATATTCAACAACAACATGTTGTAGCGTAAAAATACACAAAACCCTTCAAATTGAAACCCCTATTTAAATATTTCAGAGATATCAAACGGAAATAATTGAAGACTGATGATATTCACTGAAAAGATAAAATTTGAGGCAAAAATGACTCATAATACTAAACCGGATTTACTCGGGAAAATGACTCATAACCTATGAGTGATTCACAGAAAAGCAGAATATGTTGTGAGTATTCAGAAGGCTTGTAGGTGATGAAGTAAAGGGTTGGAATGATTTAAAATGACATTTTGCAACATATACAAAGCATCAACGCAACACACATATGGAGAGAAAAGAATAAAGAGAAAATGATAATAAGAAACTAATGGCTTACCTACGAGTCAATCACAGAAAAGCAGAATACGACATCAGTATTCAGAAGGCTTGTCAAGTGAGGAAGTCAAGGGTTTGAATGATTGAAGATCAAGCCCTTGGAGACTCATAGGTAGCTTTTATAGAAGAATATAAAACGCTAAAAGTTAAACACGCGCAGAAGAATAGAAGAGTGTAACACGAGAGACACAATAATTGACATGCTAAGATAACACTACGTAGCTTGAGAGAACACGGAAAACAAATCTATTCCTACTAAGCAACAATTTCATCATCCACATTCTTTAATAAGCTCAGATCAAATACGATACAAAGACAAATGATCTAAAGCAAGACCGAAAAGAATCAAAGGGAAGCAACCAGATCTAACGGAAATTCAATCCTGTCATCTGTCTAAGTTGACCTTTGAGAAGCTGAGGAAACATTCCCAAAAACCAATACACCACATTTCTCATAATCCAATTTACGAACCAATTACGTGAATTAATCCTACGAAATAACTCATCAGTAAGTTTGAGAACTTGAGCGGCAAAGCTGTGACGTTTTGATGACCATTGGCTGAGTTTCTCAGTAAGAATTAAATTTGATTCAGGTGTCATAGTTGATGATGAATGAAAAAATTCGCTGAGGATGATCTATAAATCAAGAAACATCAATTTTATAAAGCTTTTTCACTTCTCAAGGTAAAGACGGTCGATTCCACTCACACCAAGGCTCACAGCGTCCTGGACTCCTATATTCATCCCTGGAAGGAAAGCAAAAGGGCCAAAAAATTAGGTTGTCAAACCAAGAAGCAAGTATTCTTACCCAGTAATCCCTCACCTTGTCCTCCTGCAGGAGCGTGAATATGAGCAGCATCACCAATCAGGCATATAGGGCCTTTGTTGAAAAAAGGAACGAGACGATGTGAGACTTGAAAAAAACTTGACCACTTAACCTCGATGCTGAGTTTCGGACAATTTGAGTTGAGTCGATTCAGTCGAAAACAACAAAATATAGCGAAAGACCTTCCAAAGCTCGTGAGCTCACATTTTGTTAGGTTCATCATTTGATGTCACCTTGGGACCACAATTGTTCACCAATTCTTGAAGTTCAGCTTGAGTAGGACCCTTTCGATACTCTCCATTTTTATTATCTGTTTTTACATCACTTGGAGTTCGGAAATAGGCAATCATACAAACAGAATTATCCGGAAGTGGGATAAAGCTAAGATGGTTTATCAGGAAAACAAGTTTACAAAATAACTTGGAGTCAATCAATTTTGTATGAAATCTTTTTTGAACATGTCTTTCTCATGCACCACCAACATATTTACCTCGGATTACAAAATCCGAGGTATCCTCGGATGCAAAACCTCGGACAGAAGCTTCCCGAGGTTTTGATCCGAGGTAATTCTCAGGGCAAAAAAATACCTCGGGCAAAAACCTCGGACAAGGTTTGTCCGAGGATTTGCCTCCGATGATGCCTCGGATTTCTCAACCCGAGGCATCTATGCTGGCAGTGATGATACTCACAGTAGCCATCCATTACTACCCAAGAATTGAGACCCCTCATAACCACTCCAACCTTCAAACTTGTAATCATACATGCGTCAAACCCACGTTAGATCAGAAAATTTTTACCACAGGTCATTGAGCACTCACATATGGCCAAGTTGAGGATTTAAATTTGACATCCCCAAGAGCCAGTATTTGGGGCTTTCAATTCGAAAGACTGTCGATGAGATGTTTAGAATCACTAAAATGAAAGCTCTATACGCACATAAGAGTGTCCAAGGAATTCAATTTTACTAGCTGTGCGGACTTTAGAGCGACCCCCATCGGCGCCCACCAAGATGGAAGTCTCTACCTCGGCATACTCTCCACTACTATGTAATAGCTTCACCTTGACAGGTGCTCCGATCTTAGTCTGGAGATGGAAGAACACAGTTCAGTTTCAATTCAAGCTCCTCTTATAATCAAACCAATTCAGCTTACCTCGTCATCACTAGTAAAGCTCTCAAATGACCATTCGCGTTGTAATTGTCCTCCTAGAGTATTTAGACGAGCTTCAAGGACTCTTTCGGTATTTCCCTGCGGATGAATAGCTACGAATGGATATTTGGTTTCCGATTCGAGAAGACTGAGTGGTGTTTCAAATATGATTTTTGATTGGTTCGGATCACGAATGCGCATCGAATCAAGAAACCGAGATCGATCAAGGATCGTCTGAACAGTAGATTTGACAGTTTCATCCAAAGGTAACAAATCAAGAGGCTCGGCATCAGTAGGTCTCATGGGAGATGGACAAGTACTATCATCAACGCCAGTTTCAAGACACTCTAGCGTTCGGCAATGGATTGCGATCGCACGACTCTGGTAGAGGCGAGTTTCTTGATGAGCGGCGGATTCTTTATCGACAAGGAGAATCGAAGAGTAAGGTACTCCTTTGTTGATTAAAGTACATGCAAGAGCAAGACCGGCGCTATTTTGTAAGATCAATCAGTTTGGCAATAAGCATTCGATAGAAAGATGAACACCACTCACGGGCCACCCCCAACAATAAGAACTGAGACTTGGGAGGGAAGGGAACGAGATGGCATGATGTTAATATTTTGATAAATACGCAGTGAAGATGCTTTTTGTTGGATTGAATCCAGACAAAACAATTAATCTTATTATAAGGTAAAGAAAAAATACTCTGAAAAAGCGTTTATAGTAAGATTATAAAAAGATACAGTCAGATGAAGAAAAAGACATTCAAGACTGCAGACGGGTTCAGGTGATAAGAGCAAAAAATGGATTGGGATGACGTCACATAATGAGATGATGCTACGAATTGGTGGAATGCGAAA